CTTTTCCTTGATCATKGTGAATTATTTCCTTGGGTGTTTTGTTAATTTATCATTATGGAGATTCTTCATATGTGTACTATAAATTCCATTCCAAACATTGGTGATACGCAGGTTACTGCTTAGTTTAACAACCTCAAAGGAGAATTAATATTTTAAATTTAGAATCCAGTAAGAGGTAGTTCAGCTTCTTAAAAACAATCTTCTTATAACAATGGACATACTTAATTTTTCTAGTCCACCTTTTAAGGGTGCTGTCTTTTGAGAGAATCGGATTTCTTATTTGTCTCAGTTCTAACTCTCTCATAAGGACTAAAAGCTTTGTTTCCTGTCCCTTATTCCTTTGATTTATTATTTTCCAATTTGGGCTCCTCCACAAACTCTCTGTGTGAGCTTGGACAGGTCATTTTCCCATTTGGGTCACAGTCACCCTATTTGTAAAATGAGAGCTGGGTGAAATGATGAAATGACCCATCAGGTCTTTGGCAGTTCTAACGTGCTAAGAGTCTAGCCTTCATCAAACTTGGAAACTGTTTCCAGAAAAGAAAGTTCAATGTCCTTTATGAACTGTTCCATGGCAAGGATGTAGCTCAGTGTGAGGTGAACTCAATACTCATCTCCTTGGACTGGGAACTGATAGGCACCCGGCAGAGGATTTATCTCAGGATTTTTCCTCTTTGGTTTTCCTGACCCCACACCAGTCCATTCRGGAGCTACAGGCAGTTTGGTTTCTTTTTATTACTTCCTCACAGTTCACCTTTGGACTTGGCAAAGTCAGCAGTTATGACAAGGGTGTGAACGCCAATCACACAGCTTCATTTCCAGAATAACCAGCTTAAGTGCTGTTCAGTGCTTATACTGGAATAGAAACCCGACTTGGCTAATTTTTACAACTCATTTTAAAAGAACTATAAGAATGTCCTTCTGGAATATTAATGCACATTTTATCTTGTTTTCTTGTGAAGAAGGAATACATTTTTTTWAAAAAAAATTGTAGGTAAATGGATGGAGTTGGAGAATATAATGCTAAGTGAAGTTAGCCAATCCCCCCCAAAACAAATGCTGAATGTTTTCTCTGATATAAGGAGGCTGATTCATAGTGGGGTTGGGAGGGGAAGCATGGGAGGAATAGATGAACTCTAGATAGAGCAAAGAGGAGGGAGAGTAAGGGAGCAGGCAAGGGGTATAAAGGATGGGGAATGAGATGGACATCATTACCCTAAGTACATGTATGAAGATACAAATGGAGTGAATGAATATACTTTGTATATAACCAGAGATGTGAAAAATTGTGCTCTATATTGTAATATGACTTATAATGCATTCTGCTGTCATATATAACAAATTAGAATTAAAAAATAAAATTAAGATAAAAGTTTAAAAAAAATTGAAGAGAATAAAAGAATATAAAGAAAGGAAAGGGCTGGGGATGTGGCTCAAGCAGTAACGTGCTTGCCTGGCATGCATAGGGCGCTGGGTTCGATCCTCAGCACCACATATAAGTAAAATAAAGATGTTGTGTCCACCGGAAAAAAAACCCCTAAAAAATAAATATTAAAAAATTCTCTCTCTCTCTCTCTCTCTCTCTCTCTCTCTCTTTAAAAAAAGGAGGAAAAAAGAGAAAACACATTCATATTCCTAACATTTCAAACCAGCCAGTATCATCATTATGGTGTGGTTCTTTTTTTAGAACTTTATTTTTATTTATTTATATGCAGTGCTGAGAACTGAACCCAGTGCCTCACACATGCTAGGCAAGCACTCTACCACTGAGCCACCACCCCAGCCCCCTAGTGTGGTTCTTTTTAATCTCTCAATTGTTCTTATTTTTTAAAAAGTGTTGTGACTATATTTGTGTATCCTTTCTGGAGTAAATGTATTGCTATTGAGTGGGGTCACTATTGTTTGACTCACTATTGTTATAAGTTTCTCCAAACTGACAGCATATAATTCTATATCTGATGGGATATAACTGTACCTAAATTACTACAAAAATTGTTGGGGTATAATCATAACATCAACTTAGAGATGACAATTGAAATGAGGGAGACAAGAAGGATCTTCAGTATTGGTGAATTCTATTGTTATTCCCATGTATCTTTAATTCTTCTTCAACAGCACTGACCAAAGGCTAACAAGGCTTCATTTTCCTGCTTTACTTCTTCTTTATCATCTTCAATTTCTTCTCCTAGATAATGGCAGGTCAGATTGGTTTTGAAAATAATATCTCCATGGAGGAGATGGGATAGGGAATGCCGTGGTGATGAGCAGATTTGGGTTCCAATTATATGATCCTAAGCAAGTAGTTTCTTCATTCTGAGTCTCAGCTTCCCCATTTGTAAAATTAGGGGGCCATGAATGAGAGCTCATTAAATCTCTATGTGCTCCTTGTTCTGAGGCTTTCCTCCTCTCTTTTGACCATTTGGGCATTTGGGATTTACATTAGGAAGTGGAAGGGAAGGAGAGAGAGGTCAGTGCAAAATGAAAAGGATAAAACTAAAACAAAATAAAAAATGCAAAACATTTTTAATTTTTAGCTGTAGCTGAGTGCCTTGGATCTGTTGGGGAGTGTCCATTGCTGAGCTCTGTGTTGTCCTCCACTTTGAAGACAGTGAGTAGCCCCTTCCCTTCCTGGGCAATGAATGCTTCCCCAGGTTAGATTTTGTTTTCTTCATTGTCTTTCTTTAAAATATCAAAGAAGGCTCATCTTAAGTCCTAAAACAAAACAGAAGTGGTCATATGCATGGCCAGTTCAGATTGCTTATGCTTCTTGGATGATTGTTCCTAAATTCCAAACTATTATGAATCATCAAGTTCAAACAAGCTCAGCATCTCTAAACTGTTTCAAGCACACTCCAATTATTGCATGAAAGTCTGATTGCTGAGACCAAAGCTCACAAGCTTTATGATCAGCTGTACTAATGGATGATGGAAGAACTTCTCCAAGTGGTGATGAACTTCTCTAAGTGATGAACACCTCAATACGACATGATTCAAATCTCAGTTTACCAGGGTTCAGTGTGGGCATTACTTTAAGAACACAGGTGCTGTATACAGCAGGCAAACCCCTGTGATTCTGGGAGGGTCTTGACAACTTGCTGGCCCATGCAGCCCAGACCCTCTCCATGGTCCTGATCTCGTGTGGCCCCTGAGCTGCCTGTGGCAGCTCTGACATCACCTCCTCTTGGGAGCTCTCCTCCCTGGCCCTCTGTGATGCCGGCACTCGTTCTCCTCACTGGCTCTYGCTCTTTCTCCATTTCTTTGGAATTCCCCAAAGTTGGGCCCTCAGCTCCCCGCCACGCTTCTCGTTGTACTGTCCCCTCTGGCTCATTTCTCCAACTCTCCCACCTGCACTAAAGTCTTATCTGTCCTTGTTCCCCCATCAGGAACTCTAGCACTCTGACTCCCTTTGGCCCCTATTGCTGCTTGCCGGGCCTGTTGTAATAGCCTCCTGGCTGGCCTCTGTGCCCCGAGTCTTTCCTTCATGTTTCTGAAACCGATAAATATCTGCAGAAACAGTTCCTCAAACAGCTTCTGTCACATCACACTTGGGCTCAAAAACTTACATCAGCTGTCCTGCTACCACGGAGGTCTGAGCCTCTTAGTTTTGCCCCTGAGGTCCTCTACCTATGACCATGACCTCCCTAGATATCCTTATTTCCCACCACTTCCCTTCCCAGTTCTTCCCTCCCAGCCACCTGGACTCACTGGAGTCCCTCAGCCATGCCTTGGGCTTTCCTGCCCCATCACTGTGGACAACACCATACTCCCCACCCCACCTGGCTCCTACTTTTCTCCTCTCTATTTCTTAGTAGCTTCCATGTCCCAGCACAAATCCAGCCCTTGAACCTCCAATCCTGGTGGTGCTTGCTCTCCGCAGTATGAAAACCACTCTCTCTTCACTTGTCACCTCCTTCTGCTCAACAATGTCCACAGTGTGTCAGGCACCTAGAGCTGGGACTCAGAGATGTTTAGACCCCAACTTTGCCTTCAGGGGGCTCCAACAGGGAGAGATCAGCACACAGGTCAGGACAATGTTATGTTCAGGGTAAAATCCTAGAGTTCAGAGAGGAGGGAAGGATGACTTACCTGATGGAGGTAGGGAAGGAGGTAGGCCATGGGGATCTCARCAGCGTGACACAATGGAACAAGCAGAGAGCCATGCTGGAATTCCTGCTTCACAACTTACCATCCCCTACCCTCTGTGCCTTGGTTTGCARTCTGTAAAATGGGAATTATAACATTTGCCTTGAAGGATTGGGGTGAGGAGTGACAAGATATGTTTGTGAAAAGTGTCCAGTAGCAGCCTGTGCAGGTTCTTGGGAAGTGCAAGCCCCGTCTGACCACACTCTGCACGGTGTCCAGTACACTGCCTGGGATAAAGTCCGATCCTGGTAGATGCCTGTGATTTGGTTGCTAGACATGATCATGGATATATCAGGAAGCAGGACTGTGAGGACCTCGGCTGTTTTAACTGTTCTATAAAAGATCGACTCCCTTTTTTTGAGAACCATGAATTTAGTACTTGGAAATTTGAACTAGCAAAAGATACACAGGCAGTACCTATGCTTTTCCATTTCTTCAAGGAGAGCCGGAATCTTGCCCAGGAGTCAGGGCCCTCACGCCAGGTGATAGAGCAGCAATCCTGTCCCTGGACCTGCCACACCCAACTAATGAAGGCCAGGGCTTTCATGAGTCCAGTTCTTTGAAGCCACACCACGAAGCTCTTACTTCATGACGCACAGGCATGGTGGAGAGTCCTGACTTAGGGAGAAGCCCAAGTAAAGTCTTTTATGAGGTGAGGGACTCTTCTGAGGAAACACATAACAAGCAGAAGGGAAGGGCTTTGACGATCACCAAATGAGCACAAAGAAAAAAGGGCTGCCTTACAGTCCACACCCTCCACAGTGAGGGTATAAAGGCCCATCCTGGGGAAGGAGACCCACAGCACTGTGGCTCGCCTTGCATTCTGTCTTCAGCCGGACACCTCGCTCCCTCCCAGCACCATGCCTTACAACTGCTGCCTGTCCAACGTGAGCTGCCGCAGCAGCTGCTCCTCCCGGCCCTGCGTGCCCCACAGCTGCCATGGCTGCACCCTGCCCGGGGCCTGCAACATCCCCGCCAACGTGGGCAACTGCAACTGGTTCTGTGAGGGCTCCTTCAACGGCAGCGAGAAGGAGACCATGCAGTTCCTGAACGACCGGCTGGCCAGCTACCTGGAGAAGGTGCGCCAGCTGGAGAGGGAGAACGCGGAGCTGGAGGCCCGCATCCAGGAGCGGAACCAGCAGCAGGAGCCCTTGGTGTGCCCCAGCTACCAGTCCTACTTCCGGACCATCGAGGAGCTCCAGCAGAAGGTGAGGGGCGGGCACCATCGTGTTCTTAGCAGGAGGCTGTTGGAAGAAGAACATCCTAGCTGCAGTTCAGAAACCATATGAATTCCTGGGTCCATGGGAAGGTTGACGACTGGCCTTTCTTTTGTGTCTTGGGGGCTCATCTACTTTCAGAYTTGGGTCTATTAGGTCTGAATATTGGTGTAGAGTTAGTTTAGGTGAAAACAGCAGCACTTCCGATAAGGAAGCTGTTATTTAAAGCTGTCTCTGAAGGCTTCCATGTATTTCCAAGCTCCAGAATTATTACCCTGAGGTGAAAGAAAAGAACTGAGCTGGAGAAGAAAACGAAGCAAATGGATTAGGTCATTTTTCTCTCTCCCTCAAGTRCTCTGATCTCTGGTTATCTCCCTCTTCTGGACACTGAATTATCCTGATTCCATTGTCCTGACCTGGATGTGTCTGGGATCCTACTGGTGTCCAGTGTTCAGTGAAGGGGTAAAAAAATGGTTGGTTAAACCCAGAAAGATTGGAAATGATGTAGGAGGGAATGGTACCAAGTCATCTCGATGGCCAGGAGAGCATGGCAGACTCCCTGGTACAGCCCCTTGCAGCTCCTAATTTAAATATTTATCTTCCCTTCTCAGTTGAAAGTACCTTGAGGGCAGGATTCACATTTTAATAAATATGAATTGTTAACAGCTTTTCAGTATTGCTTATCAGGAAAGGAAAAAAAGGAAGATCACTTGCTGATATTTTCTTTGTGTGTTTCAATTTTTTTTTCAAATATAGTTTCTAAAATATTTATTGAGCGCCTATTGTACACCAATAGCACTTCATAGTGTTATATAAGATACATTATGACTTCTCATTTTGATCCTCCCATGGAGTGAATTAGTCGGGATTGCCATTGGCAAAAATAACCAAGCCCTTGCTTATTTGAGAACGTGTTGGTGCTTCCAGATCCTGTGCAGCAAGTCTGAGAACTCCAGGATGGTGGTGGATATTGATAATGCCAAGCTAGCCTCCGATGACTTCCGAACCAAGTGAGTGGGCAAGTTGGGTATTGCTTATTTTTCTGCTCTTTCCTCTCTCTGTTCCCTTAGCCTGTCGACAACACTGACACACATCGACCAAGCTGTTCTCCAGATGTTTCCCCACCATCCACAGAGCTATTTCTCACTAGACTTTGGAGATCCCTCCTCCTGGCCTCCAACCCCTTCCTCTTCCTCTTTCTCCTCTCTAGAGAGTAATCCCCAATCACAGGGTTCGACAGTGTAGATAGCATGGTCCTTTGACATCCTGCAGAACTCATGAGAATGTGGGAAATGTATCTCCCKTGGAAACCTCACAGTTCATGGGATTTTGTCCTCCTAAGTCCACGGGTTCTTTAACAAAATAATTGCGGGTGAGTTTTTCTCCAGGACCTACTGCTAGGTATTGAAAACCTAAATGAACAGGACGGTTGTAAGAACCACTAAACCGAATTTCTAGTTTTCCGACCAACCAAAATCAAAGCAAAGTCAAGGCCAGGTGTGTTCCTGCCCAGGCTGTCCCTGATCCTCCTCTGGTCACAGGTACGAGACGGAGCTGTCCCTGCGGCAGCTGGTGGAGTCGGACATCAACGGCCTGCGCAGGATCCTGGACGAGCTGACCCTGTGCAAGTCTGACCTGGAGGCCCAGGTGGAGTCCCTGAAGGAGGAGCTGCTCTGCCTCAAGCAGAACCACGAGCAGGTGACGTCCCCTAAAGCACTGTCAGGATCGGGCTCGCCAGGGCTTGTGTCCAACCACCACGGGCTGTGGGAGAAGCTGTGGGTTGAGGTTCCATTAGCTCAAGAAACTATTCTCCCAACAAAAAGGGATTTCTTTGTAGAGCATGAATAAGGTAAAAATCTGAGATAGGAGATTAGGATTTCTCTGCCAGGGGCRGAAACGAGGATGAAGGAAGTTGGCCAGCTCTACCATGAGGACGGGTCAGCGATATGCAGCCACAGGACCTCTTCTGTGCCCAAGTCAGGCCACATGCTGCAGTCATTTTGTAACTGGAGAAGGCAGGATGGCCTAGGGCCACCAAGCTGAGAGAGCCGAGCCAGAAACCAAATGCAACTGTCCTCATTCCTATCCAGAGCCCTTTTTGCTATTCATCATGACTTGGAAGAAACATGGGGTAAAATGCTCCCCATCACTGGCCAGTTATTTGCACACCGAACAGACATTTGCAAACCTTAAATCCCAGAACAACGTTCACGGGGACTGTTAATATTAGTTGAGAGCTTATTTTCTACCAGACATTATGCTAAGCCTGTTAGAGTTCCAGAGGTCGTTCTTGAAGATGAAGGAACGGAAGATTCCAGAAGCTTCTAGAGTTGTATTGTGAGTGGTAGAGACGACACACAATTCAAATCTACCTGATATCCATCTAAACCCGAGTACCAAGCTCGGTGAAGAGATTAGCAGTGAAGTGAACAGATATTGATTTTCTTCAGCATATTCTAACACTGGTAGAAATCAGCAAATCACCGAGTCCGTTCTATTCTAAGATGGCAGATTTTGAAGTAAGCATTCTTTATTTTATCTTTAGCTAGACTTTGTCTTTTTATTGCCCATGCTTAAGAATCAGACTTAAGGTACTCTGAGATATTATAGCAATATGGGCTTCCAGGGATCAGAATTTAAATCATGGTCAACCATGTCTCAGCTCTGAGATCAAATGACCACACTTCTCTAAAAAAGAGGTGGTACAATAAATCTAAAGGGCAGGAGGTCCTGGGCCTGAAGGCCCTTTGTGAAGTGGAATACACACAGATCAGTCACTGAATGTAGGAGCTGGTCAGCAAGGTCAGAGGGAGCAGAACTGGTTGCAAACTTAAAAATGATTAGAAGTTAAATTGCATTTATCCAAGGACAGACCAAGATCCTTCGTGATATTTAAAATTATCCCCTCCCTCCATCAGGAAGTCAACACCCTGCGCTGCCAGCTTGGAGACCGCCTCAACGTGGAGGTGGACGCTGCCCCCACCGTGGACCTGAACCAAGTGCTCAATGAGACCAGGTGTCAGTACGAGGCCCTGGTGGAGACCAACCGCAGGGAAGTGGAGGAGTGGTTCACCACCCAGGTGGGCATCCGAGCACCTGACCACTCAGGA